TCCATAATGCATCATCCTGTAACTAACTCATTTGTCACATTGCTTGCAAGGCTTATAGTGATGAGCATTACCGAGAGGGCCCAGAGATACCTCTTCGATACACAGAGTGACAAATCCTAATCTCGATCTATGCCAACCCAACAAACACCTTCGTAGACACCTGTAGAGCATCTTTATAATCACCCAATTACATTGTGACGTTTGATAGCACACAAGGTGTTCCTCAGTATTCGGGAGTTGCATAATCTCATAGTCAGAGGAACATGTATAAGTCATGAAGAAAGCAATAGCAATAAAACTTAACGGTCATTTTGCTAAGCTAATGAATGAGTCTTGTCCATCACATCATTCTCTAATGATGTGCCCCGTTCATCAAATGAGAACACATGTCTATGGTCAGAAAACATAACCATCTTTGATTAATGAGCTAGTCAAGTAGAGGCATACTAGGGACACTTTGTTTTGTCTATGTATTCACACATGTACTAAGTTTCCGGTTAATACAATTCTAGCATGAATAATAAACATTTATCATGATATAAGGAAATATAAATAATAACTTTATTATTGCCTCTAGGGCATATTTCCTTCACAACATGTCCCTGGATCCATTTCCACTCGGTCTCAGCCTAACTGGCGCGAGTGGGGAGTAAAAAAAGAAGAAAGATTCTCTTACCCCCGTTGAATCAAATATTCGACGGCGGTCTCGAGGACTACACCCTGTGGTTGCACTCAACATGCCCCCACTTGATCCATTATCACTCGGCACAGCTAGACCAGTCCGAGCGAGGGGCTACAGCCAAACATATTCTAGGACCCCCGCCAAATCGAACATTCGACAACGGTCTCGGGGACTACACCTAGTGGGTGCACTCAGCGCGCCCCCACTGGATCAACTCCCACTAGGCACGGCCTTACCGGCCCGAGTGGAGAGCCTCAAACTGAAAAACTACGAGCAAAATGAATAATGACATCAAAAGTCAAAGAAACACCCAGTGGGTGTGCAGAGTCAAGATAGACGGGGAAAAATTTCAATCGGAAATCAACTTACAATCGCAGTTACTTGGACATTCGCCTGAAGAGCCGCGCTGGTGTCGTAAGCTAGCTTGCTACCTTCATACACCTCCTTTAGGCGCTGCATCATCAGATCGGCTTGGATCATGGCTTCCTTGCTGGCCCCAATCTGGTCCTCCTAAACGCGATGCAGAGTGAATACATGAGGTGGTGGAGTCGGTGACGCAGTCGGAGGAATCAGCACTTGAGATTGCCAGTAGGTCCTGAAGCTGGAAGAGTCGATACCAAAGGCGAAGTAGTTGACAGTGGAGCAGTAGAGATAGTGCCAGCTTGAGACGAACCACCAGGCTCCTGAGGCGTAGCAGTAGGCGGTACTCAGGGTGTTCTGCTCGATGGCACTCTCCGAGTGAAGCTACCGGGAGTGTCCGAGGTCGTACCTTCATCACCTGCACCCTTTGGAAGCTCGTCTTCATCAGCAAGATGAATGAAATTTGTTGGCTCTGTAGTCATTCAACAAAAACAGCTCATTCAATTGTCGAGTCAATCAATGAAACAGAACAGAGTGTAAACTTGTCGTACCTCGCCGAGAGGTGGCCGCATCAGCTGTGTCCGCCTTCGCATGCTCCTCATCAAGCCGCATGGGCGACATTAACAAAGTAGCAACTCTGGCACACAATGTTCACTCGGTCAGCAAAAGCACAAAGTTCTGCAGCAGTAAGAAAGAAAGAGAAAAAGAAGAGCACTCACGTCGAAGCGATAGGCACTGAGACCTTGATTCTGGGGAGAGCCTTCCGAGGTTTCGCTGGTGCGACCTTGGGCTGTTTCATAGACTTCTCAGTCGGGTCAGGCGTTGCAATCCAAGTGTGTTTTGGGTTCCTGACACTCGACACCGCGGCCTTGCCCTGGCTGGCCGCCGGATCTTGGGTCTGTTTGGATCGACGCTCGGTGTGCGGAGGGGACTCGACTTCTTCACTCTCCTCCGAGGCATCACTGCTGCCATCGTTGTCGTCAGTGTATTCAATATCAGCACTGCCACCCTCGCTCTCCATTCCTTCAATGAGTTGTTCTCCATTCGGCACAGGCAAAAACATCTTCGTGAATGTTTGCAGGACACAAATTTCAAAGTTAGTCGGTTCTCAATACAGTGGCATATTGGAAACAAAAAGTAAAACACTCGACAAGTTATGTCTCACCTCCCCTGGAGGATGCCCAGCATCGAAATGCAGAACCCGCTTGGATCCACGCGGATTGTCACAAGCTCTGGTGATGCTCCTAAGCCATTGCATCACGGTCTCTTCCTTGACATCCTTTGGATGGATCCGAGTGGAATTGTCAATTCCAGAATATAGCCACATGGGGTGGTCGCGTGCTTGCAGAGGCTGGATCCGTCGACTGAGGAACACCTCCAACAGATCCAAGCCTGTCACCCCGCCCCAGATCAACCCAACTACAGGTTCTACCAAGATCCCCACCTCAGCTTTCTCCTCCTCGTCCACAGTCAGCGAGCGAGGAGCACTGAGTCTCACCAATGAGAAAGGGGGGAGGCCAGTCGATGAACCAGGGGTCGGAACGTCATTGCAATAAAACCAGGTCGACTGCCAACCCCTAACTGACTCAAGGAAGGTCATGGAAGGGAAGGCACTTCTACCTCTCATCTGGACACCTAAACCCCCACACATCTGGATAACGTGGGTCCTTGCATCACTCGAATTCGCTTTCTTGACCGACTGAGATCGGCATGTGAAGATGTGTTCGAATAGCCCCCAGTGGGGGTGACAACCCAAGAAGTTTTCACACATTGAGACAAAGGCAGCAAGGTACGATGTGGCATTCGGGGGGAGATGGTGGATTTGCGCACCGAAGAAATTCAAGAAACCACGAAAAAACGGATGAGAAGGCAAGGAAAAACCTCTCTCCACGCGAGTGAGGAGGAGGACCCGCTCTTCGGGCGCGGCGCGGGCTCGACCTCCCCCTCCGGCAACCTCCAAGATCCAGGGACCAGCAAGCCGTCGGAGGTGAGTCCGTTGAGGTCCTCCGTCGTGACCGTCGAGGCCAACAAATCGCCCTGGATCCAGCACGACGACAGCGCGGCCCGAGAGCTCGACGCCTTCTTCCCCTTGATGACCTTCTTGGCACGCTCTAGCTGCGCCGTCTTGTCCTTCGCCATCTCCGCGGTGGTCGTCGGAGCCGAGCAGGGCGGCGCGGCGCAGGGCAGAAGAGGTGGAGAGGCAATGTGAAAGGGGGGAAAGGGGATAGCACTATTTACCCCTCGGCCGCGTCACTCTTTAAATTTGCCCGACTGAGTCGCTGACCTGTGGGCCAGCAAGATCCCTACGCATCCCACTAACATGGGTGACACAGTATGTGACGATAAAGGCGGAACGATAATCGAGGAGTCCCGCCCCACTTGCCCTGCTCACTGCATAGTTGTCGATCTGCGCGCTTCTCCAAATTTTCGAATCCCGTGAAATCCAGGTCCGACAGAACGATCAATCGCATCAAAAGATCTCCTTGACCACTTGGGTTCGACCCGACGTCTGGGATCACTCGGCTGCTTATCAAACCAGAATCAATCGAGACAGCTGATAAGGAATTAAAGCAGCGCGGGTGTCTGCAAGACTCTGGAGCATCTCCGAAGTGCTGAGCTTAACCAGAACCCGCACTGGTACTTTTCACCCGATCCCCGATCCATTCGGGGGCTAACGATGATGACATGTACCTAGCGTAGGGTCCTAGGCTTGACCTACATGCCCTACCTAAGTACACTACATATAAGAATCCAAAACCTACAAAGCTAGAAAGGAGGTGTCGATTGGAATGACCGCAGTGTGCTAGTCACTCGACGCAAAATTCACTCGATTACTCCTCCACCACTCGACCATCCTTATTCACTCGGAGCACCTGATTTCACTCAAAGGCAGAAGGCAGTCACTCCGGGATGGCAACGGTCAGGCTATCAGTTCGGCGCTATAAAGGTCACTAAGTGTAGGCGTTACCAGAAACGCCCGCACCTTTACTGTCTCATTGAACCCTTGCGTAATGGAGGCCGATGAGGGGTCAGCATACTCTATATAAGCCGCCCCTCCGCTCTTGCACAAGGGTCCGCACCCCCTGTAACTCAACACTCCATACAACGAAGCTCCCGCAGCACCGAGGCGTAGGGTCATTACCTCCTCCGGGAGGGGCCTGAACTCGTAAATTCGAGTGTACAACCTCGTCGTAGCTAGGCTCTGCCCTCTCCTACGTACCCCTAACCTCTATTGTCAGATCCGTTCCCACGACAAGTGGTATCCCCAGCCTACCAGGGTTCAAGTCTTGGTGCTTGCATTATTTCTGGATTTGTTTCAAGATTTCCGGTGATGCGTTTTCAGCGGAAGGAGACGTTCTCGTCGACGACGAGGTGCCTAAGGTGACTTCGTACATCTAAAGATGATATGTCGGCGTAGTCTCTCGGAGGTGCTCATAGGAATAGAGTATGTGTGTATGCATTCATAGGGGTGAGTGTATGCGCGTATGTACGAGCGCTTGCGTCTGTATTGTGTTTAAAAAAATGTTGTCAAAATATATACTATTACAGTTGGAGAGCGGTCTTTCGTATTCATGTCCGTGTACTGATCACCCCTGATCATGGACTGTGGGCAAGAAAATTCGAGGATCGGCGTTGGGATTTGCAGGAAGATGTTGGAGTGGATTCGTCATGCAAACATCTCCACAGCACATCTCCCCATTCCCCACCAACGCAAGTTGGCATCTTATTCTCACGTGCACGTCTCTGGGTCTGAACCCAAACGCTCGGCCCGCTCCAACCCCATTCCCGACCCAAACAAACCCAACCTCGCGCAAAATTTCCCACCCGCGACCCGGTGAACACAGATCACGCACGCGGCCGCAGCCGCCACCGCCAGCCAATGCCACCTGCCGCCTCCGGCTGCCGCTGCTGCCGGCGGCCAACTCCTATTCGCTGACCGCCGCCGCCCGTGCCCGCCATGCCCCGCCTCCTCGCCCCGCTCCCCTCCCGCTCGCGCCGCCGCCGCCTCCTCGCCATTCTGTCGAACACCTTCTCGGCGTCCACCGCCTCACCACACCGCGCGCCGCCCCCGCCGCCGCCGCCGCCGCTGCCGCAGCTCTCCCCGCTGCTCCCCCGGACCGCGGAGTCCTACGCCTCCATCTCTGAGGCCGCGTCCGACATCGCCGTCTCCTTCCGCGACTGGTTCCTCGCGCCCCGCGCCGCCGAGCCGCTCGCCGCCCTCGACTCGATCTACGAGGCCCTCGCCTCGGACGACGCGGCGGCGCTCGAGGCGCTCCCGCTCTCGGAGGAGCTCGTCCTCTCGGTGCTCCGCCACCGCCCGCGGAGGCTCCCCGACGGCGACGCGGTTCTGCTGCTCCGCCTCAAGTTCTTCGACTGGTCGGGCCGCCGCCCGCACTACCTCCACACGCGCGCCGTCTACCATGCCGTCTTCCGCCTGCTCTCGCGCGCGCGCCGCGCCTCTGTGGTGCTCGACTGGCTCCGCCTCTTCACCACCACCTCCGCGTCCACCGGGCAGCCGCGCTTCCATCAGACGCTCGTCGTAGGCTACGCCGTCGCGGGCGACCCCCAGCGCGGGCTCAGCGTCCTCGGCCGCATGCGCTTCCGCGGCATGGACCTGGATGCCGTCTCCTCCCGCATACTCCTCAACTCACTTGTCGATGCGTCATTCCACGACTTGGCCGACTCCTTCGCCCGCAACCTTGCTGCTAGTCCCGTTGCAACCTGCATCCGCATCAAGAGCCTGTGCCGCCGCGCCCGCTTCAGCGATGCCACTGCACTACTTGACACCCTTCCTTTCGCCGAAGCATCCAGAGGCCCCGCCGCTGGCTCTATTGTCACCGAGTTCTGCCGGCGTGGGCGCTTTGACGAGGCAGCCCAGATTGTTGGTAAATTCTCGTCATGTGATGTGTACGGCGCGTGGATCCATGGTCTCATTGAGGCTGGGATGCTTGATACTACATTGCAGTTCCTTTCTGATAAGAAGGAGGCTGAGGGATATATCCCTGACGGTCAGCGGTATGATAAGCTTGTCCACCGTCTTCTCCGCAAGAACAGACTTGGTGAAGTTTATGATTTGCTTGTGGAAATGATGGAGGAGGGCATTGCTCCAGGCCGTTCAACCATGAATGCCGCGCTTTGCTTCTTTTGCAAAGCCGGGCTTGTGGAAGTTGCCATGCATTTGTATAGATCAAGATTGGATCTTGGGATTAACCCAAACAAGGATGTTTACAACAATCTGATCAGGGCACTGTGCCGAGGTGGGGCCACAGAAGAGGCTTGTCTGGTATTGGAGCAGTCTATAGAAGATGGATACTTTCCTGGCCGTCAGACATTTGCAATGTTCGCAAATGTGCTGTGTCAGGAAGGGAAGCTAGATAAGGTGAGGGAGCTGCTCGATAGGGCTCTCAAGCAGGAGGCGTGGCCAATGGACAATGTATTAGCCAAGTACCTTGTTGCATTGTGCAAGAGTGGGAATGTGGACGAGGCATGTAAAGTGCCTCAGATAGCGAGCAGCAAGAACCCTGCGGGCCTATATCGCTACGAATCAACTTACAAGAGCTTGATCAGAGCATTAATATTGATTAGGAGGGTGGATGTGCTCCCAAGGCTCATACTCGAAATGCAAGATATGGGGCACATCCCGACCCGAAGCCTCTACCAGTCAGTTGTTTGTGAATTGTGTGAGCTGAGTAAGTATGGTGAGGTTCTTGAGCTGCTGGAGAACCAGTTGCGGAGGAGTGAACTCCAACCCCGTGTGTGCTATAACTACTTCATCTCTGGGGCTGGACATGCTAAGAAGGCTGATGTGGCCAGGGAGGTGTACAACCGGATGGAGTCTGCAGGGATTGAACCATCTGTCGAAAGCAATATCCTTCTTCTCATGAGTTATCTGAGGAGTAAGCGTATTGGTGACGCACTGACCTTTTTCAACTTCATTCATGAGAAGAAGCCACCTGGGACCAAGATGTATAACGTATTTATATCTGGTCTATGTGAAGCTCGGAAGCCGGAGCAGGCAATGGTATTTTGGAGGGAAGCAAGGGATAAAGGATTAATACCGAGCATCGACTGCTATGAACAGCTTGTGCTCCTTTTGAGCTCTGTTCAAGATTATGACAGTGTTGTGAAGATTATTGATGACTTCAGGGAAACAGGGCGCCCTGTTTCAGCATTCTTGTGTAATGTGCTTCTGTTGCACACACTGAGGGGCAGCGATCTTCTCAAGGCTTGGGCGCGTTCAGAAGATAAATCCGGGTCTCTTGAAGCAAGAGCTGGAGAGATCAAAGGTCGGGGGGCAGGACGATTCTTGATTGGCCAACTTATCGAGTTGTTTGCAAGCGGTATCAGGAACAGGAGTGACTTGGAGGTTTTAGAAGAGGGTCTAGAACAGTTCTTTCCTGTCGACATTTATACTTATAACATGCTGTTACGCGGATTGAGCATGGCAGGGAGGATGGATTCTGCCTGTAACATGTTCGAAAGACTCTGCCAAAGGGGCTATCTACCGAATCGATATACTTTTGATATAATGGTACATGGCTTCTGCAAGCATGGCAGCAGAAGTGAGGCTGAAAGGTGGATGGAGGCAATGTACCGAAACGGGTTCTATCCCACTTGGTACACTATGAGGTTATACAACAATACATCCTTGCGACCGCATGATCAGAAGGCCATTTCATTTGTATAAGTAATAATTACATATCTCATCGCATCCGTCTGTTGATCTGAAAGTCCTATGACTTTGCCAAAACAGGTAATGTATTGTTAAACCTTGCTCTTGGATTCATTTTCTACTCCATTGTTAGGTCTAGTTGTTTGAGAAGTTTTCGGACCAGTAGGTTTTTGCTGGTTTCCAGAGAACTGAGATATTTGGTAATATTTTTGCTACTGTTTTCTTATGACACAAGGGATAAATCCCTTGCACTTTATTTTGGACTCGTCACACTAGCCTGCCTACTGGATGTTAATTGGTCAGACATGAGAAAATATGTTGGATGGACCATTTTCGTAGCAATCCCACATTGCTTGCACAGTTACAAGAGACGTGCAGTTGCTTAATAAAAGAGTGAACATGTATTTTCTAATTGTATTCGCATAAATTACATCGTTTGTGTGATTCACTGCATTAGTGGAACTGATTGTGTGATGCACATTGAAGTTGTTCTTTTTTTTGTTTGGCACTATACACTAAAGTGGTTCTAGTTAATCTGGGTTATGCGAATGTCTAATAGACCAAAAGTTCAAAACAGTTTTAACTTTTAATGTTTATAAACCACACAGTAATTCAGTTCAATGTCTTACATTGTTTCGCTCCAAATTTTGAGCATTGTGCAGGCACTCATTTTGGGATCAAACATATTCATGTGGAGCATCCTGAGATTCACACCTCACCTGGCACGGCATAGCATGCGTAGGTATCAGTTTACATGTAACATTGATATATTTTTTCGGTGTCCCTTGATGTATTCTACTAGGTCGACGTAGTTTTGCGGTTTGTGCTTTTTACCTGGTGTAACAATAATAATTCAGTCCCCACTGAATCAGTAGTATATTATAAGCAATGCAGGTTCCTTATCATGACATCGTCATTATCTAGAAGCTTAGCGTAGCACTGCGAATAGATCGAAGGCAGATAGCTGGTCCAAATTATGCATTAGGTGTGCTTCGAGATCCAGTGGCTGTACACCTTGCAAGGTTGATCTGTTTATGGTGCAAAGCTGTTTAGGCGACGATGGACTAGGCTCTTCTCTTTTTGCTGGCAAGTCGAGAATGAAATTGGATGGATATGTACGCTCCATTTATAGTTATATTGTGCTAGAAAGAAAGGAAGAGTTCCATCCGTTTGTGGTTTCGGAGATTGCTTTCCGACTTTCGCTCATATCTGAAAAGATCAAGGGTGCCGAAGTCTTCATTGATCCAAACACGTTATGGTAGATGAGGAGAGACTTGTTGTATCCATCTCCCTCTCTGGCCAATGATTTGAGGAGCTAGCACCAGATGTTCTATTGTGGCATTTTTTTCTTGATAAAAACGCATAAAATGATGCGTAGATGAGGCATTGTTTAGCGGGGAACTTGTGGAAGGCTTGGGCTATCCTCATTCGAAGGTTGTCTTCATATGGGTTTCCGTTTTTCCGTGCTGGATGAACACACCGTCTATGCAAAAAAAAAAAAAAAAACTGTCCATGCATTTATGGCCACAACTCTAGTTTATGGTACTGTTTGAATGGACCATTTGAACTAAAAATCACACAAATTAATTCATGTAAAAGATGATACTCCATAAAATGTTGTATCGGAGCTGCGTCAACTAATTTGGATAGGAGATACTAGTCATTCAGTAGCCTTCTCTGAGGGGAAACAAGCTCCATCTTATTGATTTCAGAGTTCTACTATAGTATGTTTTTTTTGTCGATTATGGATTAGACAGTTTTTAGCATTTCGAAATCTTGGAAAGAAACGCCGCACGTATACTGTCACTGAATCAAACGTATACTGTCACTGAATCAAACGCTCACCCAAATTTTTCGTGCGAGACCAAGCACTTTTGTCAGCAGTGCACCAAAGAAAAACAAATCACAAACAATTAGCCCCTGCACAATTAAAACAGGTTTCTTTTGCCAATCTACAGATACTCTAATCAATCTTGAAATCAGTTGCATCTACAGTAGGCAATGTTCAAAGCATTTTTTTTTGACAAAATGTTCAAATCAGAATTGTTATAGCCCAAGAGGAAATATATTATGCCAGTGAGAACAGCCCCATCATTACACTTAAAAGTGGGCTAACTTTCACCTAAAATGGTAAAAAGAAAAAAGAGGAACGGCTGGGATTAAGCGGGCCTATATACACAGTTCAAACTTCCATCTGATATACTACCACACTCATACACATAGTCAACGTTTTTTTTTTTCCTGCTAACAGAGCTTATTCCACAAAACAAAGAGGAGAACATCCAAAAAAAAGGGCACTTGTACAACTATTCCTGCATTAAGAAAAGAGTACATTCTGCTCATTATCACTTAGGCATCTCGTCTATCAACTGTATTTGTTGTTGTCGACACCACGGCAGGTCGACCCTCTATGGCACCCGTTCTCACCTAGGCATGATACGAGGGCCCCCGGTGGACGGAAGCGCCGCAAGTGGAACACAAGCGTCAGTCGATATCCAAGGTGGAGTATGGCGCATGGCCAACCTGCATTGGTTTAAAAAATGTGACCACTTTGTTAAGCAATTCATATACTAGCATGTGGTTGCACAGGGTCTAGAAATTCTGATGATCTCTGGTTGCTAGTTTAGTACTTACCGAGCAATCGTCATGAACACGCCAGATAGTCTCGCCTAGAAGGTTCGCGACTGAAAGGATGGTCAGCTGCGGGAAATTCTTCTCCTCCTTCAAAGGGATAGTGTTCGTGATGATTACTTCTTGAAACAAACCACTTGATAATCTTTCGATGGCTGGTGGGCTGAAACAGTGATGTGAAACATACTAGTAAGAAATCAGAGCTAAACAAGTCGCGCCAGTATAACGCAATAAAACATACGAGTCAAATTCAAGTTCAATGATTGCATCTCAGCCTTTTCTGATGAACAGAAATTGCAGCAAGACAGCATAATTATTCCAATCTCTATTGAAGGTTTACACTTTGGGTTCACATTTCCACCACACGGATCTAACACCACAAGTATAAACCAAATTTTGCTTAGCACCAAATATTTGGTAACCACTGGATTCTTTTTCCCTGTCCTCCTAGCTCCTAAGTTATTGTATCCATCCAAAAATGTGTAGTTTAGATCCAACATACAATGTTAGACTATACCAGCACAATGCACACTTCTGAATTGCTCCCACAAATTGGTGCAGACTCTGGTTCCATCAAACTCTCAGCTCCATGGAATAAGTCTGTAACTACGTATATAGTGCGGTGATGGGCCTCACTCCGCAGCAAGGCAAGTTCAGTAGTTTATCTATGGAATGGGCGTAAAAGTAGCGTACCTAAAAACAGCATGTGTACAACATGCATATACTTCTCTTGCTCCTTCTTGATGCAGCAGCTCAGCTCCTTTGGCAATAGTTCCTAATTTAATTGTACTAGTCTTATTAGGATATAAGTATTCATATTCAGAAGCAAACATTGTCAAATGGTAGCTAGTTTTGATATGCAACAAGATGTTATAATTTACTTCTCAGTTAGCAGGTTTCCAAGTTTAAACTATACTGCAGCTCATATGACTAGTATCCAAACCTTACTAAAAAATAATAATTGTAACTACATACTCCCTCCGTATCAAAATATAAAACGTTTTTTAATCTTTGGTATCTGCTTTTAATATGATGCCACAACATATACATCACTAGTAACAACATGCCGGTTACCAACATTAGCCTCAACCAAGTAAACAGTTGCAAACACGACATTAAAACATGGCTTAACTGCCCCTCAGTGTGAAATGCTCAATCTTAGAATTATGTTTCCTATAACTTAAATGTGATAACTTACCTGCCGTATCAATCATATCATCCATCATAACAGCCACTTTTCCTCTAACATCTCCAATAAGATTCATTACCTGTAAGATGCACATGAAAAGTTATGCTTATTTAATCTGACAGAACTGAGCACATAAAGGCATGGAAAATAAAGCTAGCATGCACCATGTGAAACAGCACATCTCCAAATGCATTATACATTTCCTGCAGATTGACTACTACTTGCCTCAGCAACGTTGTGTCCATGCCTTCTTTTATCTACAATCGCTAGAGGTGCATCTGATAGCTTTTTGGCAAAAGCGCGTGCCCTTGCAACACCTCCAACATCGGGCGACACCACCACCAGGTCATTTGAACTAATTGTCTTGCTGGCGAGGTAATCAAGAATCACCGGCTTCACAGATCAAAGAGGCAAAGACAAACAGTTATGCAACGATGGATATCATATCACATGCCAGTTTTAAGGTAATTGATCAACTTAAGCAACATGTATCGGTAAGTACCTGGCCATAAACATGATCTACTGGGATGTCAAAATATCCCATGGCCTGACTTGAATGAAGATCACAAACAAGGACACGGTTTGCACCAGCTTCAGTAATCATATTAGCTACAAGTTTTGCAGCTATAGATTCACGACCTTGAGACTGAAAAAGCAGTGAAGTAAAAAAAAACTTATGTTAGATATGGCAATGATTTTTTTTGTAAATATTAGGATGACGTGCCAGAAATATATAGTAAGACTGAGTTCCTGATCATGCATTATCCTGCCAGAACAACATGCTCTATTCAGCATTCAGCATTAACTTTCAATTCTCCATATTTATGAATCTCTACTCCCATAAAAAACCGAGTTGGTGGATGGTGTGCCTGCCATCCATCATTTTCGACCATCAGATCTGCATCCGACGCATGGGAGACAACCCCACTTCACATTTACAAATAGATCCTTATTTTTTATGTCCTGCTCCATCTATCCCCACCTCATCGAACAAAAGGCATTTGATCCTTCTAGGAAAGGGGAGCAAACAATGGAACCGAACTGGGCAGGTGGCCACTGATGCTGACACGCCGCCGGCACCGGCCGCTCCGAACGCCTCTCCTGACTCCTCTCTACCGTAGCAGCCCAACAGCTCACTACCTCCTTCACCTCCCCCTCCCCCTACTCCCAATTGTCTCCTCTTCCCCTACCCCGTCTCGTTCAACGCCGACGTCGGCAAGTACACGGCCGGCACCGTCCGATGTGGTCCGCCCCAATTCCACGACATTTGTTCCATCAATTATTTTTCATAAATACCCATGCATATGGTAGACTTCCAACGCTCTGGACTCGACCCAATACTGATGTGCCGTACCAAGCATCGGGTTGTTTAGTTTGTTAGCGTTTGCCGTTGGAAGCTGAGGCGATCATTTGCGTTCTTATTATGGTAATCATGGCGCACAAGATCAGCATTATAATATAATAACAAAAAAGCAAAACAAAGTCTCATCCAAACTATTTATTCCTGACACCAACGGATACATAGATAAATGCTCTGAAGGAGCGATAAAAACACTTTGCGACATACCATCTCATACTATAAAATCTCTAAAGGTACTGCGACACCTCCCTCATGCTTGGTCTTTTGGTCTGAATATAACAGAGACAGTTATGTACGCAATAGTGATTGTCTGATGTCCTTTTAAGTGAGCAGGTAGATGAAGCAAAAAACCTAGAACCCTATCTAATAAAGGAAAATTTGCGTCTACTCCCTCTGTTCTTAAATATAAGTATTTTAAGAGATTCCACTATAGACTACATACGGAGCAAAATGAGTGAACATATACTCTTTAAGGCGTCTATATACATCCGAATGTAGTCTCTAGTGGAATCTCTAAAAAGACTTATATTTAGGAACGGAGGGAGGATAATCTTTATATACCAGTATATATGTGCATATGCTTCCGAGTGTATAACATGCTCATTGATTATTTTGTTATTAAACAGTGCTTGCTGGAGATGACAAATCAAGCGCACTAAGAAGGCAAAGCAAAGGCCAAAAAATTTGTCTGATTTCCTGTGCTTGGGTACGAGCTGGTTTGTAGCAAAGGAAGATACTCTACCTTTTTACAGTGGTAGATTTTATAGCGAGGGAGGTACTCTGTTTTTTTAGATGGAAGATACTCTGCTTTGTGGCAAGGGGAGATACCGTGTTACTTCTGCCCCATTTTTGTACATCTAGGCTTAATAACAAGATTACGCTCTTTGTTAAGTAACTTTGTGATGGTGCGCTTCTCGTGATGAGGCCCCTATGCTTCATGAGACGATTGATTGTAAGTAAGCATAAAAAACATTCATGTGCAATCTTTAATTGGTATTACGGACTTGATTGTGTGCAACTCTATTTTGTGCATCAGATCTGGAAGGCTCTTCTTATTTATTTTTTTGTTTTTTTTGTTCCTTTTCTTCATTTGCTCAGCAACGGACATATTGATTCAAGTTACTGTTTGGAGAAGCTGAGAGTAGGACCTTAAAGAAAGTAGAAAAGTAAAGAAATGGTGGCAAATAACGAAAGAAGATATTTGAATCATGTTGGTTTTGAAAATTGTCATGATTATGCATCCTCGCTGTTGTAATGCCACAATCAAAGCTCATTTATTCGTGCTTGTACTTCTATCTTTCATATATGGCCCAATATAAACATGTTTGCAATTGTTCATGTTTTTTTCTGGAAATGCATAAGTCCTTTCATCTCAAATTTATTACATGAGAATTCTTCTTACACTGAAATTTTCAAAACTGCAATGTTTCCGCTAACAACCCGATGTGTCATTTTCAAATCCATTTGATTTGTGCTTCGTCTCACCATGAATGATGCCGCCTCCCTTTTTTTTCTCTGTGGCAAAGCACAGGCATTCGACTAGTATTTTTCACATATAGGTGTGATTTTATTTGACCTCAGAAAGTTTGGTTTGGTTACACAGTAATGGTAAAAGCAGAGGTGTGCAAGCCGTGACAACTGACAAGTCTATGGTGTAGGCTTCCGTTTTGTAACTAAAATAAGAAACCAACATTTAAAAAGTATTACCTTCCTGTCAGCCCTGGCATAACCGAAATAAGGGATGACTGCAGTAATATTCTTAGCAGATGCTCTTCTACATGCATCAATCATGATGAGTAGCTCCATGAGATTCTCGTTTGCTGGAGGGCATGATGGTTGCACAAGGAACACATCGCAGCCCCTTACACTTTCTTGTAACTGAACATATATTTCGCCATCAGCAAACCTTTTTATGTTGATCTTCCCAAGTTCTAGACCCATGTAGCTTGCTATTTCCTGTCACAAGACACCAAGAAGAAGAAAAATACAGCTTAGAGTGGCATTGAGTGACAAATCATTCAGTTTGGCATGGAGGGATTTATAACAAGTACTAGCTCGCTACTTGATGTATTCAATTTCAAGAATAGCTTTCCGGTTTCCACGGTTCATGTCTTTTTAAGCTTAGTTCACATTTGCATAGTTGTTTGTCTAAGCTAAACCCACTTACCATTTCCCTTGCAAAAAAAAAAAAGGAGTGTGCTCCTTGGAACCAGGAGGAGGACACGATGATAATAGTATGTGGAATTTCTCCAAGGAAGATCCAACCGACCTGGGCGAGCGAGGGATTTGCCGTTCCTGAGAAGATGCGCAGCCTGGTGTCGTCCTTCCTGATGTTTGCGTCCCCGAAGATCGGCATCGTCGCAGGGGTCCACGGCGACCTGTCGGACAGCGGAACGCAGGGGGGTGATCCATTGACCGCCCTCAGCCTCACAGGATCGACCCTCTGGCACCTCTGCATGCACAAAGATGAATTTCGCTCAAGCACACTACCACGAGCAGTTCGTTCTGGTACCAAGCTAACTATACATCGAGCTGCTTCCGTTCGATGAAGCGCACATCAACACAAAAATAGTGGAAAGAGCGCACGCGCGTCGACGAACAGTCATTCGCGCAAACAATGTGCTCCCGGGCTCCAGAAAAGGAAATCAATCTGTGACGAAGGCGAGCGGGGGTAGGGGGTGGGGTGGGAGGGGCGGAGCTCACCACGGCGGCGTGGCCCGAGCGCGCGCGGAGGAGGCGGTCCCGGCTTCGGGCGGCGAGCGGGGACGCCGCCGGCCCGGCCGCGACGGCGGCGGCGGAGGAGGAGGAAGAAGGGAGCGGCATGGGGAAAGGTCGCTCGCTGGCTAGGGTTTAATCCGGATTAAGCCGAGGGGTTTGCCACCAGTTCCAGCCGCCAACGGTTTTATGAAAGAGTCTTGCCAACTGCCAACGGTTTTATGAACTGAGGAATTAACTGCCTCATCTGCCTGCGCCGTGATCCCTCCCCATGGGCGACACGGGCGGCGACCAAATCGCCAAGACTTCCGACCGCCCCATCCAATCCTCCCTCTCGTCGTCGCCGGCGCCTCCCGCGGGCAAAGCTCTCGTGGAGCAGGCGGCGGGCGGCGGCAATCCTTTCTCTGCGACGGGCGGCCCCTCTCACGAGCAGGGGAGCTCTGTGCGGGGCGGCGGCCTCGGCCCGGGCTCTCGGTGTGGCCGGGGCGTGGACAGCACGCGTACGCGCGGCGGGGCTCGGATCCGGGTGTGCACGTGGAGCGCAGATCAACGGCTGGGTGCGGTGGCGGCTCGCGCGCGACGGGCGCAATGATCGGCTGGGGGTGGTGGGTGTACTTCTTTGGAGCGTGAGGTGCGCTGCGGTGGGCGAACTTGCTCGTTTGCTCCGCTGCTTCGCTCGCGCGGCTCCGGTTGGATCTGGTGCGAGGTGCATCGATTTGGGTGTTGCGCGTCGCGACGCGGCGTTGGTTGCTGCGGTGGTGGTGGCCATGGTGGTGTTGCGGTGGTGGACGATGGCTTCGACCAGGGGGTGGTGTGTGTTTGGTCGTGGTGGATCGTGGGATCCCGCGGCCAGAATGGGGTCGGCCTCGACAGGTGGTGGCTGGTGGGCGGCGGTCGGTGGCGGCAGGTGGTCGGCGCATCTCCAGGAGAAATCTTTGCTTCGACCTTCATTAAAGTCGGCGACGGCGGCGCCCATGGGTGTCGTGATCTTTCTTGGAAGCGTCGTCGTTGAGATGTGCTCTTCCTCCCCATGACTTTGGCTCCGGAGGAAAACCTCAGATACACTGGATCGGGCGATGGAGGCGTCTTCGTGTCTTTCTCCTCCTTTGGGACATCGCGGAGTCGGCTATGACTGAGAGATTGGTGGATTGCGACATCTTCGTCGTGGATGGCAGTATATTCGTCGCGTGGTTTGCTGAGGCGGGGCGCTGATTTCTGTTTGGGAACGATGATGGTGTCGAGAGGAGCTCGGGTTGCGGCGTGGACTTTGGTAGTCGATTCTTCCTGGCGTGTCCGAGGTGCTCTTTTGTGGGTTGCTTGGTTGCTTTGAAGTCGAAGCTGCGGTGGAGCGGGTCCAGGTGGTAACGATGACAGGCACTAGGTGGTTGTTTGCGGAGGGCACGGTCGGTGCAAGTCCTGCAGATTTCCCTTGCGATGCTCGTCGTCAAAGTCGGAGTTGTCGGTTACTTGCGCGTGTGGCCATCCGTTTGCATGTGCCGTCGTGGTTTCTGCGGCTGTTTGTGAGTTCGCTTCGATGATGGAGCTCTTTGGTGAAGCTGGAGTCGCCCGTTTGAGGCAACCAGTGATGACGATAACGCTTGTGACTCCTCAGCGGATGTCTTTCTTCTTTGCCGTTTTTGGTTCCATGCCGGTTGCCAGGTTGACCGGTGGTGCCCATGTCATATGGGTTGGCTTGTATCGGTTTTAGCCTGATTTTCCTCCAATTAACCAGGCAATTATCTTTTTTTTAAACAATGAAAATGGAAAATGGCATTTTGAAAAAAAAACTTCTATTTACTCCCGGGACAAAACACCCAACGAAACATACAATATCTTTTATTAATTCTATGGAATTTTATGAGACATGGCAAATATTTTATTGAAGTAAATAGTCCCTCTATTCCTAAATATAAGTCATTCTCCCCTAGCGACATATAGTTCAGAATAGAGGTAATAGATGTTTTGGTTAAGTGATTTGTTTTCTTTTTACAATGTGACATTTGATTTATGTCATAAGTGTCTACAACAACAACAACAACAACAACAACAACAACAACAACAACAACAACAACGACGACGATGACAACAAATCAATACATGCATATTACAACTCAACTAAAAATACATGCACATTAGACATTACAAGTAATTTTTCCTAGAGGGATGGAAGTAGACATCCCATCAATTTCAAAGCAAAATGAATTGTTTTTCCAGCCTAGCCTCTTTCTTGATTTTTTTTGGCAAAACAGTCAAAGGTTATATATTAACTAGGACGAACTCATGAAAAATACCCTTACCGAAATCAAAAAATACATTCAGATTCTTAGGGGTGCCGAAGTCTTCCTCTTGCATCCACCGACAAGAGCAAACCGTGAGCAATACTCATTGCTGCCTCTAGGCCTCGGTCTCAACAAAGCAAAGTTTCTTAAACATGATCTGCGTAGACCAGGAGACACCGGCGGCCATGATCCGCGTAGCGAATTGCCACCCCGGAGAAGAAAATGGCGTAGAGAGCTGTAGCACGCCCAGAGAAATTGGATCTTTTGCCCCAGTTTACTTCTAACTTTGGTTACCCCCCCCCCCCCGGCGGGAATTGATGAGTGGGGCCGGGACCACTAGCCATTGAGACAACCCTGGGGTAAATTATCCAAATCCCGAGATCCAGCTAGGCGGACTCGGGGAACACGAACCTCACACGCTCTCCGATGAGACCGAGACCGAGCAACCTTCATCGACCGGAACAACCATGTTGCCTGCTGCGAAAGATAACATGATCGAGACAAAACTTATTACATGCCAACAGCGACACCATCGTCTCGCCACCGCCAAATGGAGACCTATCTAATGCTCCAAGAGGAAGAAACTATGACTCGCACCGGTAGATCGGGGCCTCCCCCTCACACCCCTACCGGCGGAACCGGCGGGTGAGGAGGCAGGCTATCAACCGGCGGCAGAGGAGGATGACGGCTGAGGAAACACCTTAGTGCAAGTGATTGCTGATCGCCGTTTTTCTTGATGATTAAGAGGAGCTTTACAAGGATGAAAGATCACCCTCTGCTGTTTTCTGTGGAAAACAACACCTCGACCAGCAGCATTTCATCCATAACATAAAAAGAGAAGCCGAACCAACAAATTTCAGTTGCAGGCCACTCCTGCCTCAGCACAGTTGGACGAAAATGAAATCATGCGGTATATCCAAGTCTCATCGTATGATGATTTGTTAGAAAATGTATATTGGCCAAAAACAGGCGGAGCAACAGCGATTATGTTCAGCACTCTACCATTATTACAGGGCTAGTGATAGGTTCTGCTCCAGTCCAAATTCCAGTCGAGTAAACAATATTCAGAGTCACAGAAAGCAGTACGGCTACCTACAGACATCCCTTACACCATTAGCTGGGCGATGTCCTTCCGGAAGACGCCATCCATCATGTCCTTCCTCCTGGCGGTGACGGACGGGAACGGCGAGCTGGAGAGGCGCCTGCACTGGTTGCTCACGCTGATCCTCGTGGACTGCATCATCGTGGGGAGGATAGGGAAGGACTTAGGCCGGATGTTCAGGGGTGAGAACAGCATCTTGCCACTCGAGTCGTGCGTCGAGGTCTTGGAGGCGGGCTTCTGAGCTCCTGCGGCCTTATTCATGGTCGAAAGGTGCCTGAGTTGCTCCGGGGGGCCGCCTGGCGGGCCTGGAGGGTGGGGCCGGATCTGTGCTGATGGCTTCATGCGGTCGAGCCAGCGAAGGACCGCGTTTCCGACGTTCCGACCAACTTCCAAGTCCCTCTCCTGAATGTTCTTGTGCACTGAGACTGCGACGTCGAATATAGAACGTGTCCGCCTGCATAACATGGAGAAGAGAAGGGTCAAATCAATCTTGATTGCTGGCTAGCGTCGAAAATTGACATAACCATTATTTGGTCCCAAGAATGCACTGATGATTTCAGTAAGAATATCCCATCTTGGGTATTGATGACAAGTAGTCATCACTAGGACTGCCTATCTGGATTCTTACAGACAACTATGACCAGATTTAACACAGCAGACAGCACCTGGTTTACAAACCAGTACAGGACATGACACGAGAGTCAAACATGAAGTCAGGTAATCATAATATCACATACTGAAATTAAGGTTTTCATACGAGGGCTGAATCCTACACAGGATAATGGATGGTATGCGAGGAAGGGAATGCGACAATATCGATCTGGACGCAAACATTCAGAGAGAACAAAGTAAACTAGACGCAAACAATATCAACTATTTGCAGCAAGGTGAAATGAGTCTCATGCAATTCAAACACGTAGAAAAGCTACACAGTGTTGCCTGTTATGTTTATGTTTCAAAAGTAATCTAAGCTAAGTAGGTAACCCAAACAACACAGAGTAACCAGGCAAATGAACTCAAGACTGTATGCAAGTTGAGGTGTGTTAAGACTTTCCCGAACTCCAAATGAGCGGCACCTCAAAAGTATAATGCTCCTACAGAATGCTTTACATTTTCAAATAATGTCCGCCTAAAGCTAGAAATGCCGGGGCAGTAAAAGATGAAACCTCCCGGCTACAAGTTTAGCACACAGCAGCGAACTCCCCAACACAACACTTATCACTTGTGCTCTCTAACAATCAGATAGCAGGAACGCCTGCCTATCTTTCTATGTCGAGACCTTATGTTGGACAGCTTGCACATCAATCAACTATTCATTGTTCTGTTTCATCCTATGAGGCTAGTAGGGGCCGTGTAGCAGCACAGAGCGGCAGCTTTAGCGCAGATTTCATTCAGCCCAAGCTTCTTCCCCTAATCTGAAGCCAACTCTTTGTTCTGACGCTGTACCCATTGCTACAGCACACGGTTCACCGGACGCCCACGCTACGCAGGAGCAAAGCATTGGTCGATAAGGCACGGCGCGGCAGGACATGAGAGCACGACCAGTCAGCCAGCGAGGGGGCCGGACGCGGCACGAGGCTGGCTAATAACTAATAAGCCGAAGGAGACGCCCGGGGGCGAAGAAGGCCGTCGTGAATCGGGCCCCTCGCCCTCGTAGAAGAGAGTAGGAAGGAGGGGGCGGCGATTTGGTACCTGTAGACGAAGTCGCGGAGCCTGGGGTGGTTGGG